TTCAACTTATTAGCTGTGCAATCCTAACAGAGTTTCCTAACCTCCCTGGACCTCAGCTTCCTTCCTGTGTAAAGAGGAATCACGATAGCGCCCAGCTCTTAAGAAGTTTGCTGGGAAAAGGAGAAGAAACGATGAATGTCAAGAACTTGGCTCTGTTCATCTGGACGATAGTAAGCTTTTGATATGCCGCCTGAGATTCATTGTTATTTTGGGGCTACATTTGTTGTCAGGGAAATGAGGCCTTCCCTACCCGGGCCTCAGTGTCGCCGAGGGACAACAGAACAAAGTGAGCCAGGGACCGGGAGGGGGAGACAGACAGCCGGGGTCAGAGGAGGCCGAGGTAGGCGGCTGGACCACGATGAGCATGATTGATGAGCAAAGGGAGCTGGGGGAGGTTCTGGCCCAGGGCAGCCGGTGCGTGAACTGGGCGGCTCAGGCACCATCAACTGCGGCTTTGTCACGGAAAGGAAGGACCTTCTGCGGGGAAACCTGAAATGATAAATTGCTTCCAGGTTTTCTCCCGGAGCTGGTCTAGCCCCGTCCGAGAGCCCTTCTTGGCTTTCCTTCTAAGCCTGTGGAACGATTTAGATGAGGAGATGGGGAAAAAAATACACAAGAAACCAAAAACCTGGGCAGTGTAAGGACCTGGATGGAGAAAAGAGGAGAAGGGATGGTGGGGTGTCAGCAAAGGGCTGTGGTCGGAGGTGTGTGCGGAGTTAGGAGGTGGGACGGGGAACGCCAAGCCCCGAGTGGTCCCGGGGCCACGGCTGCCCAGAAGGCTCAGACTTGTGTAGGATAGGGGAGCAGTGGCGAACGTGAGGCCTCCCCCTGGGGGTCCTCTGGGCGTCCAGTCATTTTGTATTTATTTATCTGCTTTTGATTTAGAAATCATTACTCTTTCTTTCTCATGTGCTCTCAAACTTCTATACCCAGCATGTGAATCTTGCTTAGAAAAGCCCCCATAGAACCCAAATGCCTTCCTCCCTGATCACCTGGGAGGAAGCTGATAGCTAAGATCAGTGGGTTTTGCACCTTTCTTCGAAGTTCTTTCTTCAAATAAAATCTCCCATTGGGTCACAACCGCTAACATGTTTACGGAGCGCTCAGTGTGTGCCAATCACTGCTTCACTCTGCGTTTTCTCATGCTGTCCTCAGCACCATGCTGCGAGGTCTTAGATCAGCGGTTCTCAACCTGTGGGTCGCGACCCCGTTGGCGGTTGAATGACCCTTTCACAGGGGTCGCCTAAGACCATCCTGCATATCAGATATTTACATTACGATGCATAACAGTAGCAACATTACAGTTATGAAGTAGCAACAAAAATAATGTTATGGTTGGGGGTCACCACAACATGAGGAGCTGTATTGAAAGGGCCAGGAGGTTGAGAAGCACTGTCTTAGATCCTGCCACCCATTTTACCAAGTAAATGAGGAAAGTAAGGCACGGGAGGGTGAAGCCCCTTCTCCAGGTCACACATGAGCAAGAGGCAGAGCTAAGGTCATAGAGGTCTCCTCCCCTCCTGCAGCCACGCCCTGATAACTGCTGTGTCGTACTGTCTTTGGAATGAAAGCACGGCAGCCTTCCCGGAAGGTGGGGATGGAGAGGAAGGAGCTGGAGGCTGGTCTTCTCAGCTGTCACTCCAGGTTGCCAAGGGACCTCCCAGGAACCCCCAGAGCTGCCCAACCTAGAAACCTCTGCTGCAGAGTATAATCCAGATTCCAGAGCACAGGGGGCACCACATGTGGGAGTGGCCACCTTGGCGATCGGGGGAGAGAGAGTGTGTGTGCGTGTGCGTGTGTGTGCATGTGTGTGCGTGTGTGTGTGGGTTGAGGATGGAGCTCTAGCACGTAGGGGTGAGGCCAGGAGACTTCATGACTCGTTTGATGCTTGGCCGCTGGAATTTGCTTGGAGAAGTGATCTTTTGAAAATATCCTATGCTTGTGAAATATTTGCAGCATCCCTTTGATAAAATTTTCCAGTATTTGCAATTCTTTTCTTCTAAGAGCCGGAGGGAGGGCCAGGGTGCATTCATGAAATTCTAAGTATTTTGCAATCTGATTGTCCAGTCCCAGCCCGCAGTCCGGCGACGCCAGAAGTCCTGCTTCAAAGAGCAGGTCACCTTTTGGTTCGCACCGACCCCGCTGCCCTCTGCTAAAGCCGTGTGGGGAGGCTGTGAAGACCACGGGCTTCCCAACGGGGCTGAGGGTCCCTCCCTGCCCTCTCGTGGACACCACCCATCTGCTGGGCACTCCATTTCTTTCTCCCTTTGGTCTCAGAGCATCTAGCCCGTCAAAGATTCCGCATTGGAAAGGGTGAGACCGGTGTTGCTTTTCTTCAACGTGAGAAAGGAAGAGAGATGAGAAAAAGCTGTTTTTCCAAGAGCCGGGAGCGCCTACCCGGTGCCAGGTGCTATGCTACACGCTTGCTGGGTGGGATCTGCCGATGCTGTTCCAGCTGGGAGAGCGATGTTAGAGAAAACGTGGGGCCGCGGGCTGGGGAGTGGCAGAAGCTAACAGGAAGCTGCCCCTGGGACAACTCTGAATTCAAGATGAACTTCCCGTGAGGCAGGAGATGACCTCTGAGCACGTAAGGTCAGCAGAGCCGTGTCCAGAGGTGGAGCTGGCTGGCTCCTGACACATCCCTCTCGGCGGGGGCTTGTGCAGACACTTAAAGCCATGTGTCGTCTGTCTGGGTGAGAACCCGACGGAAGCACCCCCTGGCCCTCCGCCCTCCTCCGCAGATGGGGCTCGCCCAGCGCCAGGCGCTCACTGGGACCACCAGCCTCGGCCTGTGGGAGGTCTGACATCCCACTGAGCTCCGCAGCTGGCTGCTCCCTCGGGGAACACCAGGAAGCTGGATCGCTCCTGCAGGCCGTTTCATTTCCACTGGCCTCCTGCCTGGGCGGCCTCCTTCCTATTCTCTCGATGGGTGACGGAGGACGAAGGCTACATCTGTGATACCGCCTGATGTGGGAATCAGAGAAGCTTCTGGAAGGGATCCTAGAAATGACCTGGTCTAACCCCTCATTGCATGATGGGAATGAAGAGTCCTCAGACAGGAGAGAGCTGAGCCAGTATCTAAGACTGCTGGGTCTTAGCAGCACTGGCAATCCCATTGGTGATCACTTAGGTTAACTCTTTTTTTAAAAAAAATTGCAGTAAAATATTCATACTGTAAAATCTACCATTTTTTGAGTGTACAGCTTAATGGCATTAAATACATCCACACTGGTGTGCAACCATATCACCACTCTCCATCTCTAGAACCTTTTCATCCTTCCTTTTTAAACAACCACATGTGCTTGTCATGTGCCCGACTGTGTCCCATACACTTCATTCTCTGTGAGAGAGGCATCATTACAACTCCATTTTGCAGATGAGAAAACTGAGGCTTGAGAGGTAAAGGTGGTGCCTGGCTCCAATGACTATAGAAGCTGTTGCGGAGACGTCCACAATTGCAGAACAGGCAGGGCAGGGACCCCCAGGATGGCAGGTCTGCGATATGCATGGGTGAGAGAAGGACAGGACCTGGCCTACCATCGTGCCACATGTGGGGAGGGGACAGCGCCCTGAAAGCCTTCATGTTCCTCCTTCAAATTTAGCCTCTTAACCAAATATTGAGGAGAGAAAATCAGACACATTTCCCAGCGCCTTTCTGAGAAACCAGGTGCTTCTTAGGCCCAAAGGAGAATTGCAATATGTATCTGAGTGAATCAGGTTCAAATGCAATGACCTGGACCCTGCCGACGAGGGTGCAAGATGTCATGGGTGCACTTGTGCGCATGGGGCCGGGGTTGGGAGTGGGTGCAGGACTGAATTAGGTAGGTAAGTGTCTCCAGGCTGTCTGTGCAGCCCTGGCATCTGGCCTGCAGGCAGGGGCTTCCTTGGGGTGGCGGACATTTCATAGCATCCTCGGAGGCTGGGCCTCCCCTGGCCTCCCCCCTCAGGGAGTGTAGCCCCCCCCCCCTTGTCTCCTGACCCTGAGTGGGGACCTGCTGGGCGGGGCACACAGGGTTAAGGACCTTTGAGGGCTGACAGTTGATCAGCAATTGCGTCACCGCCCTCCCCAGCAGGGTGTGCACCTGCCAGCCAGGTTTGCTTTGAGGTGCAGTCACCGGAGCACCTGGGGACAGAGGCCCTAGAGGGTTTCTGGGGCAAAGCTCAGCTGGCCTCCCTTTGGCATGGGATTTGCACAAGGACCCGTCCTTGCATCCCGGTGGGGAAAACCGGCTGAGAGAGGAGGAAGGGTGCGGAGGGCAGCCTGGGGGACCACCGCAGGACTCATATTTGCTGAGCACTTGCTTGTGCCAGGCTACGCATTTTACACACTTTGGCTTCTTGATCCTTACAGTAACTCTCATCACCCTTGCTTTAGGGATAAAGGAGATAGAATCTCAGAGAACAACAACAGGGTTAATATCAACGACCCAGCGTGATGTCATTCATGAGCTGACCGAGTGGGATAGTTAAGACTACAGTTGCTCCAGTAAATGTGCATGAAACCCAACAAGCCGTGAGCCCGTGGGAAAGTCACTTAACCTCTCCGTGCCTCAGTTTCCTCATCTCTAAAGTGGGGATCACAATTGTTTGTTTCTCATAGGGCTTCTCTTTGACGCAGGTAGTGTTCAGCCAATGTTAGCTAGAGCCACGAGGCTGGAACGATCACAATACACTAGGTTCCAGGCTCAGGGTTCCTTTCTACTACAGTGTTTAAATACAGAAACTCCAGGAGACTGGCCATTACCACCTGCATTTTACTTAATAGCAAAATGAGGCTCCGAGAGTTGAGCAGAGCCCCAAGGCCACAGTACTGGGCAGGTCGGGGTGAGGTTCCAGTGCTTTCCTTCCTTCCACTCAGGCCTCCCCTGGCCCCCTGCCCTCGACACGGGTGAGGGGTGGCATTTCCAGGCCCCTAGCATGGTCTTGTCACCAGCCCAGGCCAGCACCACCTCCTGCCCCAGCCCAGCCCAGCTCAGATGGGCCTCCCCAGGTGTACCTACCTGTCTGGTGCTCAAAGGCAGGATAATACTCTTCATTGCTGAACAGGTCAGTCCAGGACATCAGGGGGTCGCAGAAGGACGCGTTGGGCAGGAAGGTGCTGTGTGTCACTGAGTCCAACATCACCCTGCAACGACAGGAGAGGATGTGAGGAGGCGGTGACTGCTGGAAGCCACTGCAGGACCCCAGCGGGCCATGGTGGCTTAACAAGGACAGCAAAGACTCGCAACCGGCAGCCTCCTGGGAGCCAGGCCCCGCTCTATGTGCTTTCCATGATTGACCATTTCTAGATGAGGAAACTGAGGCAGAAGGATTGAGACAATTGCCCATAGAATATGACCCGCAAGTGGCAAAACGGGGATTTGAGGATGGGAGCTCTTATTAGCCAATACTGCTTCTTTCGTTACTTTTCCTATTCACTCACATCTGACCTCTGAACTCTGGCTTATAATGTCTAACAATGTGCTTCTGGAAACACGGCCAGAGTTGCTATCAATGAGCGCACTCACACACCCTTATCTACAATTCTGAAATCCCAGAGCTCTGAGACCAAAAGTGTGTGTGTGTGTGTGTGTGTGTGTGTGTGTGTCTTTGGTGCAAACGTTTCTGAGCAAAAAACAGTTGTGAATTGATCTTACGTAGTTTTATATACTGTTACATAAATGTTACATCTATATGTATATAAACTATACACTATACATATGCAGACCATGTATAAAAATTATACACTATAGACATATATAAATGAGATATGTGCTATATAGTTTTGTAACCCTAGTCGCAGTGTGGTATTCTGCCTGATCAATATTCATGTGGTGTGCTGCAGGAACATCGATGGGGTTAAGTTGAGCCAGAAGAAACACCTGGAGAGGGGTGGTCTGTCTTCTGCTGCATGTACACCGTCACCTTCTGGTGCCTGAACCAGAGTGAGTTCTGCAGCACGCCCGCCCCAGGGGTTTGGGTAAGAGAGTGAGCACCAGTGATTGTAACACACAATCACTTTGGACTCCAGGCTGAGTACTTCAGGACTTCCATCCATTCCTCATGGGCTCCTCAGAACGTGAGCTCTGAGGCGGGGTCTGTATCACGGATGAGGAGGGGACTCTCTGACATTCCCGCTAATGTGCCCACACCACCCAGCTGGCAGGGGTGGAGTCTGAGTGACAACTCAGGTTTGTGTATGTGACGTCAAGACCTGGTGGCTATGCTCTCGTCCCTGCTCACACTGGCAGAGGAGACACTGGGGAGACGGTGTCTGGTCGAGGCTGGGGTGGGGGCAGAAGAGATGGGCCTGGGGCCCCCCACTCTCGTGCACTCTTGCCCACCAGTCTCATCTCTCGAGTTTCTCTTTGCTGCTTCCCATGTCCCCACAATTCAGACAAAAAAGAATTCGTACCTGGTGGATTAAAAATATGTGTTGGCCCCACTTCTCTTTTCTTCTTATGGAAGTAATGTTGATGAGATATGGGGGTTCTACCCCCATTTTGTGAAGGGGACCCTGCAGCTCAAGACCACACAGCTGGTAAGTGTCAGAGCAGAGACTGGGCTCTGGGTCTCAGGGAATTTAAGATGGGCAGGAGCTTATCAGTCATTTAGCCCAGTGTTTCCTGACGCGAGTCACGTGTCTCCCATCACCATAATTTACTTAATACATTCAACAAAATCACCCCTTTTTTGTTTGAACATAAATACGTTTACTTAAAAAGAAAACTTGATATCACCATTATCCACCAAAAGTCACTATTCCTGAACATATGTAAAAATGGAGACATAAGCACTTAAATAAAAATTGTTCATCCATGCACCACCTAAGTCAGAGGTTAGCAAAGGACAACTTGCAGGCCCAATCCAGCTCACCTCCTGCTTTTGAATGGCCTGCAGCTAAAAATGATTTTACATTTTTAAATGGTTACGTATTAAAGGGCTATGTAGGTACTTACACAATAGCCTGGATTTTGCCTGTTGGCTCACCAATCCTATAATAGGTACTCTCTGCCTCTTTACGTGAGAGTGTGCCTACCTTCGACCATATTCACCTCCTGTAGGTACCATGAGTGCTGGAAAGAACTGAGTTAGTGCATCGCTCCCCTCGCTCTATCATCCAGAACTGAGAAAGCTAAGGCCCAGGGAGCTTGTGTCGCTTGCTTCAGGTCACAGGGCCAGTCAGTGGCAATGTTACCTTGCATGTAGAGAGTTCTTAAGTTTTCCAATCCTCAACTCTCAGCCCATCAGCTTCCCTTTCTAAAAACACAGTCACGACACCCTCAGGACATCCCACGCATTCTTACGTACCAAGTAGGACCTCAGTACTGAGAGGGGCAGGGATTGTGTGGTTCCAGAAAACAAAGCCCGATTCTTTGGGGGCGCTGGCAAATCTATCATCATCATCATCATCATCATCATCATCATCATCATCATCAAATGTTCATGAGAACCATGCTCCTGACATAGATAAGCAACCAAGTTCAAAGCCTCACATGCAGGTCCCTTTCTGTGCCGTCCATGAAGAGTTGCCAGACCCCACGGGGAACCTCTTCCGAGGCCCACAGAGGGTTAATGCTGCAGGCGGATTATCGTGCCCGTGGATCTCCCCCTGGGAGCCATATCAAACAGAGGTCAAGGCTGCCTGCGTTCGGACTCTGATTTTCCCACGGATTGGCTGGCTTTATACCCTGAACAGGAGGCAGGCTGAAAAGGGATAGGGGTTATGAGAAAGGAAAGAGCCCCTGGAGCCCAAAGCCCCTTCCATTTCCTGGAATCCACATCGGGAATTCCCGTAAGTGAGGGCTCAAAGGGAAAAGGCCCCCTGCCTTTCTGGGCCAGACGCTCAGAAAACTGAGGAAGAGGATGGCACACCTCTGACTTGACTTCATGGTGGGTTTGGAGAAATGCTAGCTGGGCTCGGAGAAAGGCCAGGTGGGCTCCACATAGAAGAACAGAGAAAAGCATCCCCAGGCCTGCAAAGTCAGTTAGAAACCCTCCAGCTACAAAATACGACAGTAGGAGTGAGCGGTCCATCTACACCTGACAAACAGCTCTCAAAAGTCAACCATTAAATTCAGTTGAGTCATATAAAAATTAGGCATATGTTTGATCAATAGGACATTTACCTCCTTTAAGTATTTTTCCCCCCTTACACCAGTCCACTCACTTGCTCTGTAATTTCCCTAGTTTTGGACACAGGGCTGTATCTGATTCCCTTTGGTAACTCCTTCTATGGCCAATTACATCCTTTAAGTTTCCTTAAAGGGCTCTCTCATGTGAACACTGTGCTATTTTTCTTCTGTAATCATTTCTTACTTTGGGGGAAAATGCCTTTTATAAAAGCAGCAGAAGTTGTTTGTTTTAGGAGAGGGTTTCATTAACTCTGGGCTCTCCACAAAAGACCTTGGCCCCGTAGCCAGCGTGCTCCAGGTGTGAGTTCAGGAATAATGGCTGCTTTGTGCCCAGTAGCTCAGCTTCCTAGGCCCTCTAGGGTCCTTGTGGTAATTGAGCATTTTAGCTCTTAAGATTTCTTTTCTTTTTTTTTTAGAATTTTTAAAATCGTCACTCGAGTATATGTTTATTGATTTTACTGAGAGAGAGGAAGCAAAAGAGAGAGAAGGAGAAAGGGAGAGAGGGAGAGAGAGGAAGAGAAAGGAAGAGAGGGACACATCGATGTGAGAGAGAAATATTGATCAGTTGCCTCCCCTGCACACCCTGACTAGGGATAGAACCCACAACCTAGGCATGTATCCTGATGGGGAATCGAACCCACAACATTTTGGAGCCCCCATTTCTCAGTGAGAACATTGAGGCCCAGTGACAGGTAGGCCCCACCCTGAAGGTAGCCCATACATCCCCAACAGGGGGTGACATTGACCCCAGAGGGGAAACATTTGGTCTATGGCGGGGGGGGGGGGGGTGGGGTGGGGGAGTTGGTGTCAAAAAATCTTCGATGTTATTATGTTTCATGAGCCTCCAAAGGGCCACAGCATATTAAGGACTTACAGCATTTCTGTGGGATTAACATTTCATGGAGGGGGGAGACGACTAAGAAAAATTATCTCAAAAAGCTCCTTAGTGGGGGCAATAACGAGAAAAAAAAAGGTTGAGCAGCACCGGGCTAGACTTAGAGTCCGCAGCACGACAAGGAGGGTATGCAGGGCGGGTCCTGGGCCTGCTGCCCCGGCCGCACGTGTTTGTTCTCCGAGAGGCTGGCGGCCGTGTGATCTTGGAGAGAGCACTGGGCTGGGAGTCACGATTATGCCTCTTGCACCTCTCCAAGCCTCAGCTCCTCTTCTGCTACATGAACTCACGGAGGCGGGGGACTCCACGCCGGGCCCTGGCTCCATGGTTTCTTCAGGCACCCACCCGACCGGGTCGACACCCAAACACATGCCCGCACCCACAGATGCATAGGTGCGGGTGCTCTTTCAGTCAAGCAAGCTCATCAGACTACTGCAAACAGGTTAAACGTTTATCTCTGAGAAGGCCCCCTGCTTTCCTCTTCTCCCTTCCCTCCTGTGCCCGCTACTTCCAGCAGTGGGTCCTGGGTTTGGAGCCAGGCCCCGGGGGCACTCTGGTCCCTCACTTACTGCTCATCATCAGACCCACAGCTGTGAGAGTCCGCTCCCCCCACATGTTGTCCCCATGCTGGCTGCCTCAGAAGTAGAGAAAGTTCAAATACATCCACACAGGGGTGGTTCCCTGCCAGGCACGAGGAAGGCTGGCCGGAGGTACCTTTCAAAGTGAGACCTTGAAGGCAGGGAGGCTGAAGTCCCCGCTGACTCCAGGGGCTTCCTCGCCCTCCCGAGAGCCGGCTCACTCACCACGTCCGCCCGGGGAGGGTCCGTGCAGCCAGAGGGACTTCTCGCCCTGCACGAGTCAGAGGCAGCAGCGGCAGGTGCGGTGCCCATGGCCTGCGCAACCAGCACCTCTGCCCAGCCTTCCGGAGCGAGAGGGGAAGGAGAAAACCACCCAGCCTTGGCCAGTTTGTCAGAGGAGGAAAATTCCTGCCTGACCCTGGCAGAGATCATCAACTTCACTCTGGGCATGTGACCAAACATTTTACCCACTTAAGCATCGACGCATTGGCTGTTTATGCACCAAAACATCACCAGGCAGAACCAGGCCGTCGGGATATAGCCTATGGGAAAGGGGGCCATGAAAGGCCTTCGCTGAGCCCATCCTCTGAGCAGTCTCATCGGGAAGCAAAATTGTTTTCCTCCTTCGATGCTTCAGTGACACCAGAGTGCCCACCAGGTCCCCAGCCCTGCGGGCCTGGCAGGTCCATTTCCCACTCTTCGGATGCCCCCAAGAAGGGACCCATGAAGGGAAACCCAATGGACTGTTTCAACACTTTCTATTAAAGGATCGTGGGTGGGGTGCTTGAGTGTTTGCTCTTCTGGGAGAAACCAGAGTGGCTGAGAACTGCCTTGCTGACGTCTTGCCAAAGTCCTCGTTTTCCCCCGGCTTGCTCAGGGAGTTCGCCAGTGGGTTGGTGTTTGGTTGCTTTTCTGAAGGTGCAGCAGAGACCCATAGGAGGTCTGCCGTATGGTTTACGAGGGGCTCCAATGCGAAGCTCGTTGGTTTTGGATCAAACCCATGGTGGGGCTCAATGTTACCTCTGCCCGCACAAGCAAAGAAACATGGGACCCACGTCTTAGGGCTCAGCCAGCCAAAATGATTTTTGTTTCATACGAGGTGTGGTGCATACAAATCCACGACCCTCTTTGAGCTCATCTCTAAAACGGGATCCTCAGGCTTTCCTGAGGATTTAATTAAATTATTTAAATATGCAGAGGACACAACACATATATTCCCTGGGCACAACACATATATTCATTTCTGGGGTTGGGGGGGGATCAGTCGTCATCAATGCATCTAAAAGTTTGTTATACAGGGGACTTGTGAGAAAACCAGACAGCCAAACTTCACAAACTCCTGTGGAGAACACCTTGAATCACGAAAAACATTGTCGCGGAGACCACGAGGGCACAGAGTTAAGCCTTCATTCTGCGGGGCAAACCGCCCCTCTCCACGGGGCCTCTAGACTAAAACACGAAGCTGTCTCTCTAAAACACGCTAACTGTCTAGGCCTCAGTTTCCCCATCTGTAAAACGAAGAGGTTGTACCTTGGGGTCTCTAACATCCTCTCCAGTTCGTAAAATTCTTAGCACAATCAAAGGTGGGTCCCCAGCCCCCAGTTAGAGAGGGAGCATGTGCCACCAGTGGCCGCCAGCAGGGGGCGAACGAACAAGAACCCTCTCACACAGCAGAGTCTGAAAAGGTCTGATAATACAGTGGAAAAACCCTAATCACTGCTTTTCTGGAAAGATTCTCTATATACGAAGGTGGCGGGAGAGGGCAAAATGGGTTTCTTTTAAGCTGTTACATACACATGAATTCCTGAAAAAAAAAAAAAATTCCCCAAATTGTAATAAGGCAGCGTATTTTCTCTGTATCAAGAGGGAACTGAGCTGGCCAATGGGGAAAGGAGGAGTTTGGCCAGCGGGAGGTGGGCTCTCCTTGAAGCTGAATATTTTTGGGGTGTAAAACCCAGGCTTCCTTCCTGAAGATAGCTTTAGGAGGCGTAGGGCAGTGAGTGCCTGTCTGCAATCTCTTGGTTCCCCTTGGTGTAGTCAAGTGATCCTGGAGGCGTGGGGGCTGTGGAGAAGGGGGTGGGTGGCTCCACAGCCTGTGGGGGCAGAAGTGTCCCCCCCTGCTCCCCCAGACAAGCAGTTAAATCCCAGTCACCCAGCTCCCGGGAGGCACTGTGACTAATGGAACCTGCAGGGGAGCTGGCAACCTGGAGCTGGAGACCGACCCACCGACCCAGGCCCCCGGCCCCAGCCTCTAAGCCCTGACACCCCTTACAATTCATCCAAAAAAAGCAAAGAAAAGGGTGCTTACGTGAGGACAGCGCTGACTAGGTCCGAAGAGGAGGCTTTCAAGGCAAGAGAAAGCAGGTGCTCCCGGCACCAGCGCCCGGTGGAAATAAAGGCACCTGTAGCCTTGTGATATAAGTAACACCTACAGACAGGTCCGTTTGGTTTTTCAGGTTTACGCACAGCCCCTTTGATGACGGTGACATACAGTGTGACACGGCTCCTCGGAGGGGAGGGGGGATGGTTCTCACGTGCAGAAAGTTTACCTTTATCCTGCTTTTGTGCCCAGCTCACCACCCTCCCTCGTGGCCCAGGGGATTCAGTAAACAAGCCCAGAATTCTTGCCCCTGTGCTCTGCCCAGCCCTGCGTTGGCTGGGGATTCTCACTCATGCAAGCCATAGGGGGAGCTCTCAGAGGCAGCCAGCCTTCCCCCTGGTTTGGTGGAGTCTCGCGCTTTTGAGTAGGAGTTCATTTCCCTTTCCCCTTGTGTGGCCAGGAGGAAGGGCAGGATGGGGCAGTGGTTAAGAACACAGGCTTTGTAGCTAGATGGCTTTGGATTCAAAGTCTAGGTGCATCATTTTCTAGCTGTGTCACCGTGGATAACTTAATCAGCCTGTCTGAGCCTCATCACTCTGGTGCAAAGAATAGTACTACCCACTGGCTGCTCTGAGGGTCACAGCAGGTAATGCAGGTGAAGCCCTGAATAAGCTCTTTGTTAGCGATGATGATCATCGCCTTTTCCTAGATGGGGCACAGGACCCCTTCTCTACCATGTCCTCCAATCTGTGCCTTTGGACCAGGCGAGGGGAACAAGCTTGCAGAACCATTGTTGGGTCTTTCTTCCACTTTTTCACTCATCAACAGGGCATTGGACATATGAGCTTATTCAACTTCTAACATCTCTGGATGTGATGAGCCACATGATGGCTTTCTCCCTCCAACCCTGCGCCC